AATGGGGGTCTATGCCTGTGTGGCAGCAAATCTGTATACGGGAAATCTCTTTACCTTTCTTCTCAGTTTTGTTGTGAACCTAAAAATGCTCTAAAAAAATTGTCTTAAGGCAAATGACACCTGACTTTGAGGCATGTGGTATCATTCTCAAAAGTTAGGACTGTACTGTAAATGTTCTTGTCTTAAGGTCCCATCATGAGTCTGTCGTCAGTGAATGAATTTAGGTAGTTCCTGAATCTGTTTCTCACATTTGGGTCTACTACCAATCCTTAAACGGCACTCTAATGTAGTTTCAGTTTTGTGAGAGGAAAAAGTTCTGGAGATCTGTTGTGCATCAATGTGGATATTCTTAACACTACTTAAAAATGGTTATGATAATACATTTTATAGTACGTGTCTTTTACCACAATTAGATTTTTTTAAAAGATACTCTAATGTCAACTGAAGCCCATTAATACAGTGGTAAAGTAGCAGATTCTGCCTTTGTTTATTTTCTCTTTCTAGTCTAAGAGCTTATTTATTTAACTGTCTTCATTAGAAATTCTTTAAAAAAAAATTCTTGCCACATCAAAAGAACGTTTTGTTTTGTTTACAACCCTGACAACTAACTATGAGAACAAAGACATGACTACAAGCACAAAAGATCGATTTTTCTGGCTCAGCCAATGCCTTTTGGACACGCTGATGCGCTCACAAAGACAGCAGTCATCCCCAGTCCTACCACCACCACACTTCTCATGCAGCCCTGGGCCTCTTGGCTTCAGGATTAACATCTGGGCCGAGAACCGTGACATCCCAGAGAAGTGACTGGAAGATCTCTGTCCTTCAGCCTGATTTCCTCCCACACATGGGGAGAACCAAGTGTCCGGAGCTCATCACAGCAGAAGCAACACTAAGCAATGCCTTAAAAGGCCACAAGGAGGAGGTGTGAGTCCATAAAAGCAAGTGGTCTTCGCACCTGCGCCTCTTTCAGGGCTCATCGAAGTCCCCTACTTGACTTGTAGCCTGTTCTGTGTCTATGTGTCTGTCTTTCTTGCTTCTTCCCTCTTCTCTGAAGGGCCTTAGTTTAGAAATTATACATCAAGGAAATGTTTGTTCTGCTTATTTGATATAATTTTCTGTTTTGCATGAGATTTGTTCCCTTTAAGAGGAAAGGATGCATTTGCCTCTTTATACTTACGGTATGTAGCCCTCTCCTGTTATATTTCTGTGTGGGCCAGTGGCTCTCCTGTAGAAAAACACTCCCCTCACCTGCACTAAAGGCTTTGAAACCTTGGGCAGGTATCAAAGAGTCCACGGTGTCACAGAACGCAGGACTTGCTGTAGGGGTGGGTGCTGGCTCAGCTATTCGCTCACAGACTTTAGCTCCAGGTGTGTGCCAGAGATGAGGGAGGGTACAGAGCAGGACAGATCTGATGCCAGAAAGTTGCAACACCACCAGGCTGCATGTCAGATCCACTGAGGGAGCTATAAGAAAATGCAAGGTGGTGCGTGTCCATGGGGGAGAATCTGTATTTTTCCAGAACTTATAGGATTTGCTGGAAACCACTGCATAGATGCACTGAAGCCTGTGGAAGCACCATAATAATACTATTTTTTCTAAATCATCTTAGAATGCACTATCCTGAAGAATTCTTGTTGACCTTATGGAGCTTTACAGTGGAAAATGGGGAGCTATGAAGAAATTTTAAGTAGAGACTATTCTAATCAGAATAGGGTTCTAGAAAGATCTTTGGGCAGACATGAGGTAGATGGATTAGAGACGGGCAAGATCCTGGGAAAAGAAGATATGAGGGCCCACTGCAGCATCCAGGCAAGAAACGATAAAGCTGGGGCACTGGGGACAGAGAAAAGAGGGTGGGAAGCGTAGAGGGATGTTTGGAAAATAGAACTCCGCAGTGAAAGCGCAGGACAGTGAGAAGTTACACATGATGTGGGTGACTGGGTGAGCTCACTAAGACAAGGATTCCAGGACAGAGAATGTGCTAGCTTCACAGAGGCCACTGAATGTGGGGCACCTTTGGGACCTTAGGTGGGGCTGGCCAGGGCACAGTGGAGTATTCAGGTTTGGATCTCCAGCACAGGGCTGGGCTGGAGGTAATGGATCTCCCACCCAAACTTCAGAAAATAAGGACTTTCTTCAGTGCTTGGAAAGCCAGTGGCACCTGCCAGTCCCAGGATAGACTTACTGCCTGTGGAATTGCCACACCAAAGGTCAAGTGTGGGAGGCAGAATTCTGGCCCCTCAAAGATGTCCACGTCATAATTACCAAACCTGTGAATATGGTACTTTGCATGGCAAAAGGAACTTTGTGGATGTGATTGACTTAAGAACCTTAAGATGGGGAGAGTAGCCTGGATTATCCAGGTGGGCCCGGTCTAATTACATGAATCCTTAAAAGTTGACAATGTGTCCTGGCTGTGGGTAGAAGAAGAGGTGACTATAGAAGAAAGGTCAGAGAGATGTAATGTTTCTGGCGTTGAAGAGGAAGAAAGGGGCCACAGCCAAGGGATGTGGCCGCCTCTAGAGGATGGAAAAGGCAAGGAAATGGATCCCCCCCTAGAGTCTCCAGGAAGGAACACGGCCCTGCCAACACCTCAATTTTAGTTCCCCAAGACCCGTGTCTGACTTCTGACCTCCAGATTGGTAAGATAATAAATGTGGGTTGTTGGAAGCTACTAAGTCTGAGATAACTTGTTATGGTGGCAATTTGAAACTAATACTTGGGGTGGCAGAGTCAGGTGCCCAGCTGTCCCCAGGAGCCTCCATCAGCAGCCTTACCCTGGTGATGCCCAGCGCCCCAATGTTCTGGCTGAAGGAGGTGGTGCCATTGCCTGTCCCCCAGGCACCTGCCAGCAGGCAGCCAAGACCCTCGATGCCAATGCCGCGGTTGATGGCATGCTTCGGAGGGGGTGGGGCCCCCACCATCCTGGCACAGGCATGATAATCACCTACCGATTCCACCATGGAAGAGATCACCCCTGCGATGATCCCAAAGACCCCAGCCAGGCTGATGGTGGGGAGGCCCCACTGGCCTGGAAATGCAATGCAGAGGAATGTTCATTCAGAGGGTAAGAGGCTGCTGATCCCTAAATAAGTTCTTCACCAGAGGGGTCTCTGGAAGTCTTTAAAGACTGGACAGGGTGTCTTCCAACCCTTGTCACCAACCAGAGGCTCTGGCTCAGATTCCTCTGCTATCATTGCTCCCTGAGGTGGGTCAGAAGCCCAGAGCTTGAGGCCCCTGTGCACACAAAGAGCCAGCCACCAGCCTCTGCCTGGGAAGGCCTCGAAGCTTTTGGAAGCTGAGACTTCCTCTGGGAGGCCCGAGGTCCACAGTGCAGAAGGCCAGGCAGCCCTCTCAGGAACCTTAGACACCCTGAGCCAAGAACCATGGGGAAAGGAGACCAGAAGTGACCTAAGGGATGCCCTTGGCCTGGTCTCCCCAGAAATATTCTAATTCAATGCCATGCCTGCTTTGTGTGAGATCCATCGAAGGTCTGGCTGGAGGTCAGGAGCTCTCTCTCTTCCCTCCCAGAACCCCAGGCTTATGGGTTCTGAGCAATGTGGACGAGGGATGAGAGGGGTAGCCCAGCTCTGATGTAGGCCTGGGAAGAGGAGCCTGTCCCTGATCAACTCAACTCCCCATCCAGTGCCCTGGGCCCCAAGGACAGTCCCAGGAAACATGTGTCCCGGGCAAGAAGGAGCGTCCCGCCTCTCATTACCTGGGTAAGGGAAGCGAAACCAGGGCGCCTGGCTCAGGATGCTGCTCTTGGTGTCAGTGCGGGCCAGGTGCCCATAGGCTGTAGGGGCTGAAGGGAGGGCATTGGTGACAGTCAGCAGGAAGCAGAGGAGCCACGAGATGGAGAGGGCCAGCAGCACCTGCAGGGGGAGACCCCACTCACGTTCCACTCAGCCTGCCCCTCACCTGCCTTCCTCCCCTAGGGGTGGCAGAGGAGGGATGCAGGAGAGCCCTTTGAAATGAGGAAGAGTCCCCTGCCCTTCCAGTAACAATAGTCACTGGAAAACTCTGGTGTGTCAATGGACACATCATCACATTAAAGGCACAGGCTAGAAACGGGAGAAAATAAACTCCGGGGAGACTTTGTGTCAAGTCGGGGCAGAAATGTGCAGTAAATTGGGCACAGCCCTGGGCAGGAGGATTACAATCTGGCTCACCTTCCATGTTTGCTGACCACATGACCTTAGAGCAAGCTCTCTGAGCCTCAGTTTCCTCATCTGAGCAATGGAATTACAATCATGGTTTTGCAGAGCCTGGCACAGGGTTTCTGAGAATGAGTTCCTCAGATACATAGATTTTAAATCTCTGTGGGTGGGACCCCAGAAATCTATATTTTTAGCAAAGCCCCTAAGTGATTCTTATGCACACTGAATTTTAGGATCACTGACCTGCAGGGTTGTTGAGGAGCAATGAGATTGTTACGTGATAGTATTTTTTACAAAGAGAAATACAGTTTGAGGTTAAATTAAACCTGAAAACATATGTATGTGGTTGGCAGCTACACACACAACAGAGAAGGCTCTGCAAAGGGGGGTGCCATCACCATCACAGGGCACCTGAACTGCCCATGAGACACTGAGAAAAGACACTGATCTTAGCAACTTGGCCGAGCCCAGGTGCCCTCGGGCCCTCGTTTTATGTAATTAGAGGCACACCTGGCTGTCTCCCCAGTACCTTGCTGTGAGGATGGGCTGGGTCACATGAGAAGGCCATCCCACACTGGTCCCAGAGCAACCTGGGGCAGGATTCTCTGCTCCTGAGAGAGGAGCATCTAGGGATGACCTCGATTCCACCCACAGCCAGGGGCCTTCTCCTGAGATGGGGGAGCATTTGGTTTGGGAGCCATTTAGGCATGGAGAGGGGCACTCTCTAGGTGACTCGGCAAAGAATGGAACGGGGTGGGGGTGCTTCTTACAGGGAAGACCTGGAACAGGTACAATTTGGAGATGTGACACTTCTTCTCTCCTCCACAAACAGGCACGGGCACCGCAACATTTTTCAGGTACTGAGAAAACAGCACGATGAGAAAGATGGTCCTGAAACAGAAACAACCACACTCGACCCGGTGAGCTGGGGATCGTCCTGAGCAAGTGTCGCAGAGGCTCTGGGGTGGTCGGGGAAGCTGAGCCACCACGTGTCTCCTGGACCAGTGGACTCTGCAGCACAGGCAGAGCCCTGCCATCTCTGAAAAGGTAAAACTGTCCCCTTTCAGAAGCTGCTGGTGGTGCAAGAGGAACAGTGGGAAAGGACACTATTATTTCTGGAGGGTCTAAGAGAAATAGCTGTTGGCAGCTGGATAGACCCAGCAGTTAGAGCCACTGAGACCAAAGGCAGGACCATCTCATCTGCCAGGTCATTCTGCGGGTCCGATGGTCTCACACCTCACCTCAGACCACAAGGGGCAGAGTGAATGAGAGTGCCCAGTGTCATCCCCAAGTCCCTTCAAAGCTCAGTGGAAACGCTTGAGTCCTCTTTTCCCACGGAGCCTTCCCGATCCTCCCAGCTGGCTGCCACCGCCCCCTCTCCTGCATGCGCACAGCACCCCACGACCCACATTGCTACCTCCTGGTGTTAGAGGTACTCAGATCCCAGTCTTATCTCTCTCTTAGACTATAACATGCTTAAGAGCTGAGGCCATGTCTTTGCACCCTTCCCAGGTGCCAGGGGTTTACAGACACTTGCTCAACAAAAGCCTAGTCGGCAGGCGGCTGGCAGGATCAACTTTTTGTGAACATTAAGTATTCTTATACTCATCAACTCATTGTCTGTACATGCTAATGAGATAATAGCTAGCAGTAATAATGAATTATAAGTAGCAACTTTAATGCTTTTTAAGGTATGATAATGTTCATGAAAGTAATGGTAAACCATAAGAGTTTGCCAATATCTGGGACTCCTCATAGGAGAATAATATTCCTATTGGGTGATCTTCCACCAAAGAGAACTCAGAAGGCACTCCCTCCCCAGAGAGGACTTACATGGCAGAAATCCCCCAGTGGATCCCAGCGTTACTGCCCACAGAATCGAAGAGAGGCAGGGCCACCAGGGAGATGGTCGGAGTAATGGTCAAGGGGCCGATGAAGCGCATGAGAAAGCCCATGAGGCCTGAGAAGCCCACGAGCATCTGGACACAGGAAGCAACCATGATGGCACCCTGCAACTAAAGGGGAAGCGTGGAGGTCAGGCACCCCAAAGCTCGCAGCAGGACCGTGGGCCTGGGCCAGCCCTCTGCTAAACGTGGTCACCTCTAGTGGTGCATTCCGAGGCGTTCAGGGGTGAAGCTGGATCCTAAAGGAATGGAGGGAAGAAGAGCTCTGATCTTGCACCTCTCTCCAGTCTACTTCCAACTGCCTATTGGACATTTTCACTTAATATGAAGCTTTCCAGGAAATAGGCCTCAAAATTATTTATTAATCATAGTAATGATGGTGACAATGACTTGTAACATTAGCATCGCTCAGTAATGTACTGAACGTCTTGCTGCTTTATTTTTCTCTGTTTCCTACTTTCCATTGCAGGAGTCCACAAACTTTTTCTGTGAAGGACCAGACAGTATTTCAGGCTCTGTGGGCCATGCATGCTGTTGCAACTTTTCTTGACAGCTGTGAACAAATGAATATAGCTGTGTTCCAATAAAACTCCATTTACAGACACTGAAATTTGAATTTCATATAATTTTGATGTGTCATGAAATATTATTCTTCTTTTGATTTTTTAAAACAGTTCAAAATATAAAACCATTCTTAACTCATGGGCCGTTCAAAAACAGGTGATGAGCCAGAGCTGGCTCCTGGACTATAGTTTGCCAACCCCTGATCCACTGGATTGATTAATTTTATGTTACTTTCCCTTTTTTATTTTACTGGTTTGGATGTTATACCTTCTACTTTTATTCTTTTAGAAGTTATTTGTAGCTTTTTAATTTGAACACTTCACGTAACAAAACCTATAGTTAAATAAATTTTCTAGTCTCATCCAAAATAACACAATGACCTTACAAAACTTTAACCTCTATCCCATCTTCTGATTTCCATGCTATTGTTGTCAAATGCTTGTTTGTTGTTTGTTTTTCCATTGTCATTGGTCATTATTGTGAATTTTATTACATTTTCCTACAGTCAGAGCTTATTTAGATTTACCTAATGCTATGGATTGAATGTCTTTGTCCCCCCAAATTCATATGTTGAAGCCCTAGTCCCTAGTGTGATGGTATCTGGAGATAGGGCCATGGGTTTAGATGAGGTCATGAGGGTGAGGCCTCCATGATGGGATTAGTGCCCTTACAAGGAAAAAAAAGTCTCTCTCTCTCTCCACCGCCATCTCACCCCTTACCTTCCCCCATCCCCAACCCCGTGCATGCACCAAGGAAAGGCATGTGAGGACATAGCTAGAAGGCAGCTGTCTGCAAGCCAGGAAGAGAGCCCTCACCAGAACCCAACCACCCTGGAACTCTGATCTCAGACTTCCAGCCTCCAGAACTGTGAGAAACTAAACTTCTGTTGTTTAAGCCGTGCAGTCTACATTATTTTGATATGGCAGTCTGAGCTGACTAATTCACCTGTATTTTTACCATATGTTCCTTTCCTCACGGTTGCTTCTTTCCCACCCCTCCTTTATTCAAGATCTAATTTCCTTTTTCCTGAAAAATATCTCTTAGCAGTTAACTCAGCAAAGGATTCTGACCGATAAACTATCTCAGTCTTTGTTTACATGAAAAATTTCATTATTTTGCCATCAATCTTGTATGATATGGAATTCTACAGTTGGGGACAGAATTCTAGGATAATAATATTTTCTCTTAGCATTTTGAAAATATTCCATTGTCTTCTACCTTTGGCTATTGCCACTGAGAAAGCTGCAAAATGTCCAACTGCTATTCTTTTATAGTTAATTTTTTTTTTTTTTTTTTTTAAAGATGACCGGTAAGGGGATCTTAACCCTTGGCTTGGTGTTGTCAGCACCATGCTCAGGCAGCGAGCCAACCGGCCATCCCTATATGGGATCCAAACCCGGGGCCTTGGTGTTATCAGCACTGCACTCTCCCGAGTGAGCCACAGGCCGGCCCTATAGTTAATTTTTCTTTTCTTTCTTGTTGCTTTTAGGATTTTCTCTTTGTATTTGTTATTGCAGTTTCATTACAATGTGTCTGGTTGTGGCTTACTTTTATTTATTCCACTTGGGACTTGTGCTTTTTTTCAATCTTAGTATTTTAATGTGATATTTCAATGAGAGTATTTTTCAATCTGAGTATCTTTCATTTGTTCTAAAATATCAGCCATTATGTCTCTTCCAACACTGCGACATTTGCATCTTCTCTATTACCATCTTCAGGAATTCCTATTAGATGCACACTGGGCTTCTCTTTCTAGCTCCACATTTCTTATCTTCTATTTCACATTTCCCATCTTTTTATCTCTCTGTGCTGCATTCTGGATTATTTCCTTAGCTAGTCTTTCAGTTCATTAATCTCTTTTTAGCTGTGTCTAAATGCTGTTTAACCCATTAAATGAATTTTAAGTTGCAATAACTATATTTTCATTACTAAAGTTCTATATGGTTCTATTTTCAATTTCCCTGTTTTTACTTCATTTTATCTTCTTTTGTATTGTGGTTTCTATTGCTTCTTGATTCTCTTAATTTAGTTTAAACATATTGATTTAATATCCTCTTTCAAATTATTCTATTATCTCTTGTTTCTGTTTATTCCTTCTCATAATACATTATTTCCTTATGTAAAAGTGAAATTTATATTTGTGAGCTCATCTTCAGGGGAGGTTGTTTTTTCCTATGGAACTCCTGCATGCCCTGGAATGTGGACGTATCCTTAAAGAATGATTTCATATTTTATTCTGCTGAGAACCGCAGGTATTTCGTTGACAGGAGCCATTTTTACTTTAATTCGGAGCTTGAGAATCCTTCTACCACACCCATATATGTTGCAGAACTGGAGTTTTTATTTATCGTGCAAACCTATGTTCCAATACTTCCCACAGATTCCTGGGCAGAATAAAAAGCATCCTTGTTAATTCCCTGGGACGATGGGTAGAGGCATGATAGGCCCACATTCACTGAAGGAGATATACTTTTAGAACTCCAGTAGAGGGCTGGCCCGTGGCTCACTCGGGAGAGTGCAGTGCTGATAACACCAAGGCCATGGGTTCGGATCCCATATAGGGATGGCTGGTTCGCTCACTGGCTGAGCATGGTGCTGACAACACCAAGTCAAGGGTTAAGATCCCCTTACTGGTCACCTTTATATGGGGAAAAAAAAAAAAAAACTCCAGTAGATCATTAACACCCAAACTCCTAGACTTTGGTCGCATATCTGGGTCTGATTTCTCACCCCACCATAAAAAGCACCATCAATCTGGCTATACTTTCCACCTTTGTTTCTAGAAAGTGAGGCTTTACCTTGGTTTTAAGCTCAGGTATGCATCCAAAATTATACCTCATCCAGCATTTTCTTGTATTGGTAGTGTGAGTGGGGTCTATGTTACCCCATAGTACCATGACACTGGACGGTGGAGTTTAAATTGGTCTAATGTGTTAAAAACTGAACTTGCCATCTCTTCCCACAGTTTTCTGCTTTTTCTGCCACCACTGTTTCCTCAAGACAGAATCATTGCTAACTTTTTCCTTCCCATTACTTCTTTGTATCCCAGCGAGTACTACCATGCCTCCTGGTCCTATATTCACATTGTTATTTTCCTGTGGCTGGTATTGTCATATACAGCGGGTCTGCGGACCATCAGTGGTTTCAAGAGTTGAGATGTGTATAGATAAACATTACTCAGCAAAGCATGGAGAATCCACATTCCATCCCAACAGGCTGCCACAGGGAATTAAACCAATCAGTCAATCGATTAATGAAACAAGGTTGAAACTTGCAAGAACTTTCTCTTGTTACAGCACTGGTGAAAAACATTGGACCAGCAGAGGGAGCTAAAATATTATAGACAAGAGTGGGTTTGTGGCTCACTGTGTAGGACGCGTGGGGGCAATGTAGGAAAAACAGCAGAGGCGACTCCCTTAGACCTGGGTGAGAGGAACCCCTGCCCTGTGTTTTAGAGGTCAGCAGGGGTTGGCAAACTCTTTCTATGAAAGGCCAGGTAGTAAATATTTTAGATTCTGTAGGTCATATGTGGTTTCTATCTCATATTCCTTTTTTTAAAACAATCTCTTAAAAATAAAACAATAAAAAACATTCTTAGTTCCTGAGCAGTAAAAAATAGGACATAGGTTGGATGTGATCCAAGTGCCATAGTTTGCTGACTCCTGCTTTAGAGGACTCCATATATCACAAGCAGAAAAATAAATAGCAAATAAATGAAAGAGTATATAGATGTCTCTGTCACTTGGGATCCAGTGCTCAGTGCAGGCTCGGCATGACCCATATCCATAAACATTCAATCTCACTATTAATACTGTTCAGGCCACAGGGACATTCTTCCCCATAACTTTTGCCCAGTGTCCTCAAAACACTGGATAACTTCTGAATGCAGTGACGGTTTGTGAGTTGTGCCATTGCAGTGTTGGAGGCTGATGCTGCATTAGAACACAGGAAGGATTTGAGCAGAAGTGCTTAGGTAGGAGTAAAAACAGATTAAATAGATCCTTCTTCTTGGGCAGTATGAAGGCAATAGATTCCTGCATAAGGAATTGTAGTTCTCAGTAGGGCTGCATGTAGGGAAACCCTGCCCCTAGCATTTAGCAGAGCAGATGCTTAGTTTTAATTTGAATATACCAAAGCTAAGTATAGGCTCCATGTGAACAACATTAAAAAAAAACAATAGTAAATAAAACAAAAATACAAGTACATGTGTACTGTGATTCTATTCATTCTATTGATGATAGAATGTGAATAGGCATCCCTAAAGAAATACATCCTGACTTGGAAAAGGTGGAGCAACACATGGCATTCTGAGATTGGCCAACCTGGTGAAGCTCCACGGCCTGCCAGCTTGACAGGTGAAGGTCTTAGATATATCTTGGTCTGGAGCTACATGGAACAGTTTTTTAAAGATTAAAAATCACTGATCGGGCCGGCCCGGTGGCGCACTGGAGAGTGCGCTGCTTGGGAGCACGGTGGCACTCCCGCCGAGGGTTCGGATCCAATGTGGAGACTGGTTCCCGCTCACTGGCTGAGCACGGTGCGGGTGC